TGACTGACAGGTACAACACTAAAGTAAAAGAAACACTTAAATACTTATGTGAAAAACACTGTGCTAGGCATCTCTCACACACATTATCCCATTTAATTTACACAAAAATCCTGCAAGGATGAGGAAATAGACTTCAAAGGCTATCATACAACTTTTTTTTTTTTTTGAGACAGAGTCTCACTTTGTTGCCCAGGCTAGAGTGAGTGCCTGTGGTGTCAGCCTAGCTCACAGCAACCTCAAACTCCTGGGCTCAAGTGATCCTCCTGCCTCAGCCTCCCGAGTAGCTGGCACTACAGGCATGAGCCACCATGCCCCGCTGATTTTTTGTATATATATTTTTAGTTTGCCAATTAATTTCTTTCTATTTTTACTAGAGGCGGAGTCTCGCTCAGGCTGGTTTCGAACTCCTAACCTCGAGCAATCCACCCGCCTCCCAGAGTACTAGGATTACAGGCGTGAGCCACCACGCCCGGCCTATCATACAACTTTTGAGCAGAAAAGGTAGGTCTATCTGAGCCCACGCCTATCCCATTGCAAAGGCCATTGTTTCTACCACACCACCTGTGCCTTTCCCAACTAAACAGACATGTAACTATTATTAATACAAGCTAACTAGGCAAAATTATATCAGAATGTATGAGCAACTTTTGTTTTATCACACATAAGACCTATTCGCTACTATTTTATAAAATCAAGTTGGAAAGATTTTCACCAATATCCAAAATATGCACATCATCTTGCTTTTTTCACCTTATTACATGTTACTGTTTAAAAGAATTTTAAAAGACCCTCTCAAATCAACCACTGTTTCATGGAATAAAGTGCCAAAATGAAATTCAAATTTAGATATTTATTAATAATAATGATATGAACAGGTAATCCCCTTTACTCAACAAAACACTTCACATACATTGTCTCCTTTAATCCTCACAAGCAGTGCACTGAAACAAGATTACTGCCACTTTACAGAGGAAGAAAGTAAGGCTCTCAGAGGCTAAATAACACAGGAGACCAAGAATCTGAATCCAGGTCTCTGCTCTGACGCCACAGCCTACTCTTTCCATCTCACTGGTTTCAAGAAGGAACCAAGACAATTTTCCCCTGTGACAAGAAAATCTGACTGTAGAATGAAGAAAGCAAACTAAGTTAAGGTTTAATAACAAAATTGTCACAAAGTTTAATCGAATGTCTATTTTGGGGGGCATTACTGATATGCTATATGAATGAAGCATGGCTAACTATTTCAATTTGAGATACCCTTATACCTTCACATAAAAATCACATCTGACTCAACAGTAACTTCATCTTACTTAAAATTACATGTATAAAGCTTAGCACAGTGATATGGCCTATAGTTCCCCCTACTCTGGAGTCTAAGGCAGGAGGATTGCTTCAGCTCAGGAGTTTGAAGCCACCCTGAGCAAAATAGCAAGATTCCTATCTCTTTAAAAAAAAATTACAATTATATTAAATATAAATAAAGCCTGGAAGGAAAAATTTAAAAAACTAACTCATGTGTTATATTAGGATAGTAGGATTTTACATAGACATGAATCTTACATTTTTAAAATTTCCTTTAATTTGTTTTAATATGGTAACACCTTTTTGTAATGCCATTACAAATACCTCTACTATATATTAGTACTAAATAAAATATACTAGAAGATACAAAATGATAATTGATTTGACTGGCAAGTATGAGCTTCTAAAATACCAAACATAACTTTCAGGCTAATGAAGGCCCTCTAATGAAACTATGAATACTTAAAAATCTACCTCACTTTTCTAAAAATCCTGCTAAAAGTATAACAGAGGGGCTAAATTATTCTTTTGTATTCAAGTGTACCAATAACAAAAACTAGTTGAAATATATGCATCACTAACTGATTGTGATTCGGAAACTTTGTTAACAAGGATTTTTATCATAATACTGTTTTAACAACTTTTAATAGAATTTACAACTAAGAATTATTAAACAACCAAAACTGAAGTCAATTTAAAATATTTGGTCAAATTAGTGAGTAACAACATTTATTCCCACCTAAAAGACATTAAGATGATTACACCAAATTTCAGGTCAGCATCTCAAACATTTTCTACTAATTACCTTAACATGGCATCAAAACCAATACAGAAACATTGGAATTTTCAATTACTTATTATTGGAATTCAAAACTGTAAATGTAAATAAACAATAAAAAACCAAACACATGTTCAGCACTCAGAAGAATGAGTAATCTGGTCAAGTTATCACTTGCATAAGAGGAAAATATGGCTTTAATGAATTTTCCTTTTACATTTTTGCCCAAATTCTATATTATAACCTCTGAATAAAATTGTTCAAACTTTCCACACTTCAAAATGTTTCTACTATTCAAAAAAGCATGCTATATGGTTAACATCCAATTTATATTTTCCCAAACTGAACTTTACAAACCAATGGTTTGCTTTAACAAAAGTGCATGACAACAGCAATGAAGATTAATGGGCAGTTCAAAACATATGCTCATTATTATCTCTCTTATTCTATAAGTCAACTTCATGATACAAAATTAGCTACCTTTAAAGAAGATAAATATATGTATTTTCCCCAATTTATGACATATTTTAAAAATGAATCAACCAACCTACGGGTTAAAATTAGTATTCCTACTAATACCTATTCTTTCAACAAATATGTATTTGTGTCATCAATTATCATTACTAAAGTAACTTCACCCACCAATTTTTCTCAGAAATGTGTAAATTCAAATCTCTGCAGAAATTTTTTAAAAGATAAAAAATTTTTAATTTAAAATTTCCTAGAGAAATTTTTACACAAACTAAAGTCAACAAATGGTTGAAAACAGATGTGTCACTACAGTAACCCCAAAAGATGACGACAGAGTCTACTTACGTTTCAAAACAGCGATCCACGTTGTCAGACATCAAAAGCAGCATGCATAGCTGTTCAAGGGCTATTAGTTGCATGTCCCTTTCATCTCCCTGGCCCATCTGTAGCCATTCCAGCAATGTATCCGGATCCACATCTGCCATGGTTTTTCAAAAGCCTCTTTGCTTAAATTAAAAAAGTAAAGGGGGATAAGTCCTTTAAATGTCCAGGACTGATCACTTGGGTTTAAAATTTTTCTTTTACATTTGCTAGAACCAAATTTTTGTGGTGTCCTCCTAGGAATTAAAAAGGACTCATAAGTACGTTTGTTTGGATAGAGTGCTTAATGCAGTTTTTCAACTTTCCTTATTCCTCAGGTTTAACATTCAGATATCACACTAAATAAAACCAGTTTTGCACAAGAGCATAAGCTGATTAGGTTGCTGCTTAACTAGAAACCAGAGCTGTCTTTGTCAAAGACAGTCAAACAAGCTTAAGATCCACTACTGCTATCACTTCGGTCTGTGCCAAAAAGCAAAGAACACCTATTAAAGGTTCTTTTTTTTTTTTTCTTCTAGCAAACTTCCCCTCTTCTCCACTCCAAACTGATCTTCAGATAAGGAGTAGAGTCAGTATTTTGAGGAGGCTCTTAGCACTGTGATCCAATACCCCTCCAAACTGAATTTCTCCTTTAAAATCACCTCCAATTTCACAAATTCTGCTGACTTCTCAATTTACTTCTATTTTAAAGATGACCAGATACAAAGTATAGTTACATACAAGATCTATCTATGAATAAAAAACTGGTTAGAAATTTTTGCAGTCTTGGCAACTGTTCTAAAAACTTTTAAAAAGAAATGCTAAAAGTAAATGCAATGAACTAACAAGTTAGTGATTAGAATATAGGCCAATCTATGGCCCTGTAGGGATGGGGCAGTTAGTTCAAAAAAAAAAAAACACCAAAAAACAAAACCGAGAAGCAGCCCCGATAGGCAAGTCATTACAAAAGCTCCCGTATGCGCCCTGACGGGAGGACAGCTTTGGATCCCACGCAACCCAGCTGCATGTGTGGGAATCAAGCGGCGGGTCGCTGTGGGCATCCAACGGCGGTGACCAGCGGGCTGACCCAACAACACCAGGGCCTGGCCGAGTCCAGAGCTGAGAGGCGCTGGCCCCGGTGCCATGGTTTCCCGGCACCGAACCGGCATAAGTTAGCTACCTGTGTCTAGGAGAAGGGGGAAGTTCTGGGGAAGCAGCAAGCCTTCCAAGAGGAGGCGGCCGGGTCGGGTCGGGCCGGGCCGGGCGGCGGGTCTCCCGAGAGCGGCGCCCGGAACTCAAAGGCCCGGCGGGACGTCCCTGGACCCGGCCAGGCGGCGAATCCTTCTCAAGGGCAAGGGCGGCCCGCCTGGGGTTCCGGCGCCGGCAAGCCGGGTCCCGCCGCCGGCAGGGCCGGAGGAGGGAAACAAAGGGGCTATCGGGGAAGCCGGCAGCAGCCAGGCCGACCTCACCCGGTGCCGGGGTCTCGCTCCCTGCCCGCTGCCGGGCGTCCGGGATCCCGGCCCTCACGTTTGGCCCTACCGACGGCCTGAGGCGCCCCCGCCTCCCCTTCCCGCGGGCTCTTACTCCGCCTTGTAGTCCCAAACCACTCCGGTCCAGCTCCAAGCAGGCCGCGGGCAGAGCCAGGCCCGGCCGCGGCCCTCGAGTTCCCAAGAAGCCGCAGGCCGCGCAGGTCGAACCGGGCAGGCGGCACAGGAAAAGCCGCGCCTCGTCCCTCCCCTTCCTCCGCGGGGACCTGGTGACAGGGAAGCGAGAGGTTCCCCCGAGCGACGGCAGCCAGCGCAGGTCCAGTCCCCAGCACGAGGCTCCTCTAGCCCTGCAGCTCAGAGGCCCGCGCGGTGCTGCGGGCGGCGACGGGGGGAGGCCGCGTCCATCGCGATCCTGGAGGGGGAGGGGAGGACGATCGAGCGAGAGCCGGGCGGGGAAGCTGCCGAGGGCAGCCGAGCCCGGCGGAGGCGGAGCGAATATGCTCCCCGTGCCGCGACCCCGCCGGCGGCCACCTGGGGCGCTGCGGAGACTGCCGACCCGCGGCGCATGGGCGCCAACCGGGGGCGCCGCGTCGCCGCCCCTGCCCAGGCGCTCTAGCCCCGCCGCCTCGGACTCCCTCGGGCCTTTCAGCTATGGCCTTTCTAGCGCACGCCCTGGCGCTCTTCCAGCTTTGCTGTCAATCCGAGCGCGCTCCCAGCGCCCGCACGCTCAGCCTGGTTGGCACCGTGTCTAACACTTCGCGTGATCCTGCGGAAGGCCCCCGCGCTACGCAGCACAGCGGCGGCCCAACCTGCCCCGGCCGGGCCTCGCGCCCAGGCCGCCCCCCTCTCCGCTGCGAGCTTCCTTCCCCGCGGCGCGGAAGTGCGTCGCGAGAGGAAAAGCGCCCCCTTCGGTCCTGAGAGGCAAACCGCCCCGCAGTCCACCAGAAAGAAACCTTTCACAGCGACGCTGAAGAAGTAGTATTACGAGTATTATCTCCGTTGTACACATGTGAGAACTGAGGCTCCGGGAAAGCGTAAATTCGGGCCTAATGGCGTCCCCAGTAAGCAGCAGCACTGAGACTGGACTTTCGACTACTTTTCCTGTGGCTTGTGGTCGCAAGTATGTCCATAGTTATTTCCTTCAAACATTTTATTTCACATGCATTGAAAATAAAATATGCCTGCTTATATAGGACATACTTGAAAATATTTAGGATGTGGTTAACTGGAAATGTGAATACAGCCTTTTTTTTTTTCAGTTAAGAAATTAGTTCCCTGCTTGAGCCCAGGAGGTTACAGTGAGCTATGACCATGCCACTGCACTCCAGCCTGGGCAACAAAGCTAAGTTCCATCTCTAAAAAACATTAATTCCCTTTGTTTATAAAATAAGTTAAACCCATGCCCCAGAGACTCCTACTGTACTCTCATTTTTTCATCTTTTAAGCAAAAAATGAATATGACATAGTATAAGTCATGTTCTCTTAAGCAATCAGAGAAGCTATGGTATGCTTAAAGAACCAGGATTTTGGAAATTACAAATTTGCACTTCATATAACTATCAGCACATACCCCACTGTCACAGGTAATGGTCTTCTAGGCCCCCTATTAACAATTTTTTTTTTTTTTTGAGATAGAGTCTCACTTTGTTGCCCAGGCTAGAGTGAGTGCCGTGGCGTCAGCCTAGCTCACACCAACCTCAAACTGCCGGGTTCAAGCAATCCTGCTGCCTCAGCCTCCCGAGTAGCTGGGACTACAGGCATGTGCCACCATGCCCGGCTAATTTTTTCCATATATATTAGTCGGCCAATTAATTTTTTTCTATTTATAGTAGAGACGGAGTCTCGCTCTTGCTCAGGCTGGTTTCAAACTCCTGACCTCGAGCAATCCTCCTGTCTCGGCTCCCAGAGTGCTAGGATTACAGGTGTGAGCCACCGCCCCTGACCCCCTATTAACAAATTGAATCAAGAGAAAATGATAGAGGATTCAACTATCTTGTCACAATTACAACACATGAGAATAATTATTTAGAATCTATGAGTGTGAGTTACAGCTGCCAGGAAAGTCTTCAAGGAGGAAGTGTCTTTCCTCTGGACCTTGAAAAATGGGAACAATGTTGACACTGAAAAGGAGCAAGAAAAATACAAGCAAAGCCTGGTATGTTCACAGAGGACATGTGATTGGTGAGCCTCCAGCAAAGAACCAGCATTAAGCAACAGGAGGGAGAGATAAAGTTGTGGCTAAGGTATGGAGGGCCTTGAATGGCAGGTGAAGAAATTAGGCTGAGCTAAGTAACAAGGTCTGGACTATCTGGAAAAATTAGATTTCCAGGAAGATTAATATGGAAAGAGTGTCCAGAATAGCTAAAAGGACCTCTCTAGACAAAGAGATTAGTTGGAGGTTGCTGAAATGCTTTAACAGTGAAGGAAAGAAAGGCCTAGTTACTGGCAATAAGAATGGAAAAGAAGGCCAGGCGCGGTGGCTCATGCCTGTAATCCTAGCTCTCTGGGAGGCCGAGGCGGGCGGATTGCTCGAAGATGTGTTCGAATCCATCCAGTCCCATGTTCAAGATAAGGGTGGATGTAGAATTTCAGAATTTGTTGCTACCTTCCACAAGGCTGTTGTAGAGATGTTAAAAATAGGCTCAATAGTTCTTAATCGCATCCACAGCACTTGAATGTTTTTAATTGACTTATATATAATTTTAGAAACGTTCCCTAATTTCCCAGCTCTGGACGCAATGATCATCCCATCTCACCTCCGAGTACTAGACCACAGCAAAACCATTGCACCTGGCGTAAATAGACAGTTTTTTTTTAACATGAATGCCTCATGAATTTGCGTGTCATCCTTGTGCAGGGCCAGCTAATCTCTCTCACATTACAATTTAGTATGTGTGCTGCCGAAGTGAGCCAGACTTAATACTTTTAGCAACAGGCAAAATTGACAGAAAGTAAAAGAGTTCCCATATGCTCCTCCAACACATGCACAATCACGCCACTGTTACTTGTCACACTGATAACCTACCATTGACATCCATTATCATCCACACAGTCCATATTTACATTAGTACGAAGTTTAGTAAACAGTTTACATTCACTGTGGTGTTGTAACATTCTAGATTGGGAATAATGTATAAGTATGACCACCTTATAGATCATTACAGAAGAATTTCCACTGCCGAATCCTCTGTGTTCACCCTATCATCCCTCAACCCCATATCAACCACCATCTTTTCTCTCTATATTTACCGTTTCCAGAATGTTCCATATGGTGTGTAACCCTTCAACTGGCTCTTTCACTAGTAGTGATAATTAATTTCCTCCATGCTTTATGGCTTGATAAGTACTCTTTAGTGCTGATTAATATCTTCATCCGATGACCACAGTTTACTATTCACCTACGAAGACATCTTGGTTGCTCCAGTTTTGCAATTAAATAATAGCAAGCGGCTGGCGTGGTGGCTCACACGCTGTAATTAGCACTCTGGGAGGTCCAAGGCAGAGGAATTTGAGCTTCAGGAGTTCCGAGACCTAACCTGAAAATGAGACCCTGCGCTACCCAAAAAGACAAAAAATTAGCGGCACTGGTGTTCATGCTTAAGTCAGCTATTGGGAGGCGACGCGGAGCTGAGCAGAGATGCTTGAGCCGGGGAGTTGGGAGTTGCTGTGAGCTAAGGTTGATGCCACAGCACTCTAGTCTGCAACCAGAGTGAGACCTGTCATCTCACGTCAATAGAATAAAGCAAGAACTATAAACATCCTCGGCAGGTTTTTGTGAGAAAAAGTTCACAAGAAGCATGATGTTGGATCATATGGAAAGAGTATGTTAAGTTTTATAAGAAACCACCAAACTATCTCCAACTGGTGCTCTCATTTTACACGACCAGCGAAAAACGATTACTGTTCCCTATAACCCTACCAGCTATGGTGGTGTCAGAGTTGGATTGCCTTCCAATGCTATTCAGTGATATCGCTTTAATTTATATTTAATGACATACCATGATGTTACCAGCATCTTTTCATAGCTTATATGCCATCTGTCTGTCTTTGATGAAGTGTCTGTTCAGGTTGTTTACCAATTTTTTAATGTGCCATTTGTATTCGTATTGTAAGTATAGGAGTTTTTTGTATATTTGATAATAGTTTCTTTATCAGACTTGTCTTTTCAAAATATTCTCTACTTGGTTAACCTTAAATCCAAAGTCCAGAAGCCATTACCTCAGACCACTTCAGTCATAATCTCTGAAGATAAGCATCAATTATATTATTTTCTTAAGTAATCTTTAATGAAGTTTTGGCTTGAAATAATTAACTTTCTACATTGATATACTCCATATATATTTTAATATATTTTATAAAACTTCTAATAATTGATAATTGATTATTTCTTGCTTGAAGCATCTCTTCCCCATACCTATGATGGCTATCACTTCAGAGACTAATACCAACATACACTCAATGCACTCACAAATCGCTGCTGCCTTTCCACTCTCAAAAGCCATTCTGACATCGTGCCCACTGTCTTGGACTTATTGGCCAATAGCTACTCTGTAAACACACATCATATTTTTAAGAGCTAGTGAACTAATATCCGAAAGCTGAGAACATCTAGGTCAATATAATAATAACAACAACAACAATAATAAATGCTTATTATACCACAGGAAATTTTTTTTTTGGACGATCTCGCTTTGTTGCAACCAGCTAAGTGAGAGTGCCATTGGCGTCAGGATTAGCTCACAGCAACCTCAACGCTGGCTCAAGCAACTCCTGCTACCTCAGCTCCGAGTAGCTGGACTACAGCATTGCGCCACCATGCTGGCAATTTTTCTATATATGAGTTGGCCAATAATTCGTTCTATTATAGTAGAGACGGGGTCTCTCTTGCTCAGCTGGTTCGAACCCTGACCTTCCGAGCAATCCGCCCGCCTCAGCCTCCCAGAGTGCTACTACAGGTAAATTTTATTGAGTATGCATTATGTCCTAACACGCTTCTAAGTATTTTATAAGTATGCATTAGTATGGATATTAGCTGCTTCACCCTACTGTGTGACCTTGCTCTGAGCTTGTTCCTCATAATGAATGATAGGCATGATAATAGTATTATAACTAAGCCTTCATAGGATAATACATTAAATAAGGTCAAACGCATATAGAATGCCTACCATATACCAAACACCAAGTCTGCTATAATATTTCATTATTAGGTCTGCCTTCTACCGTGACATACTAGTTCCACTCTCTCATCGATGGGACAGGTCACAAAACAATTGAAGATAGCGATCATAGTCCCATATCCCTTTTTTATCCTCGTGAAACAAATCCGAGTCTTAAATGGCTACCTCCTAGGCATGTTCATTTAACGATCCTGACCAAAACAGTGTTTAAATATGCCATACCGGACAGGACAGAGGGTGCATCTCTGTTGCACTGGATAGAGGTGGTGGTCATATCACTCTTTGGCTCACACAGAGTTTGCAGCAAATGAAAGCCTTCACTTCTTGTTCCCTGAACTGCCAAACCAGGATTAAATCAGTCCATTTTTTTTTTTTTTTTTTTTTTACTTTTTTTTTTTATTTTTATTTATTTTTTATGTTTTATTGAACAGAAGTCCGCTTCTGCTAGACAGAGTGAGTTTGCCGTTGCGTCAGCTCTATCTCACAGCAACCTCAACTCCTGGGCTCAACGTCCTCCTGCCTCAGGCTCGAGACTGGGACTTTACTAGTTCTACTTGCTTCCATTGCTCCGGTCTAATTTATTATTATATTCTATCAGTTACTATAGTGGCCAATAATTCTCCTATTTTATAGTAGACACGGTTCCGCTCAGGCTGTTTTGAACTCCTGCTTGAGCCATCCGCCCGCCTCGGCCTCCCAGAGTGCTAGATTACAAGCGTGACCACCGCGCCCGGTCCTCCTTCGTTCCTTAAATTTAGCATAACTTTGTCTTAGTATCTAACTATAATGATTTCATCTTATAAATCTATCTGAGTGCTGCATCCGTGATTCTAATCCTGATTGGGAGTTACATATATACACCATCTCTCCAAATCTTTTATTAGTAGTCAGTTAGGTAAAGTGTGGCAGAGCATGGCCAAACAAAAGCTCTGGCACATCAAAC